CTACAGCATGCTTGGCAGAGGGAGGAGGGAGGAGGATGGAGAGGAGAAGCAGGGAGGGAACAAAGATGACGAGACTGCGGATAAAAGAGGACGTTCAAAGATCCGGGGCAATTCATACGCAGTGCTGGGCTGGAACGGGTCCTCACTTAAACTCAAAACTCAGTCCTGCTGCGCTGGTGGCGGAATGTGCCGCAGGCAGCAACAATTATTCAAACAGAGCATCGCTCGCGCCCCACAAATCCCGTCGCTTGAAGAAGAACAACTGCACAAACATGAACTTTTGGTGCTCCGCGCGGATATCTTGGATCTGCGCTGTCCCCTTGGCGGCGTCTCCGGCGCCGCCGTTGGCGCGCTCCGCGCGCCAGGAGAGGGGGGGTAGCGCCCATCCAAGAAATCCGCGCGGAGCTCCAGAAGTGTACGGCCATCCAGTTGTTTCTTCCCCGAATCGCTGACGCCAAGCCTGGGGAACGGCACCGCGGCCACTGGGGGTCAAACCCCCGGTGCGCGCAGCGCCGCCAGGCTGGAGAGATGCAGTTCGCGCAACCACCGCAATGCAGTGCTGGACAAAACCACGCGCAACCTTCGCAACGCAGTGCTGGACGAAACCAGCGATGAGAAAGCGAAGGGCGGGGGAGGTGAGAAGAGGAGGAAGAAAAGGAGGAGGAGGTGAGAAGAGGTGGGAAGAGGTGGGAAGAGGAGGAAGAAGGAGGAAGGGAAGAGGAGGTGGGAAGAGGTGGGAAGAGGTGGGAAGAGGAGGATTTTTGTTCTTCTCCCCCCCCCCCCCCCCCGGGGTGCGAGCCACCGATCCACCGGTGACGGTGTGCCCCAACAGGGAGGGCGGGCCCGCCGCGAAGTGGTTGCCCCTGCGAGTGGCTCAATCACCACCCTGTACTCAGTCCCAGGGCGCTCCATGCCGCAAGGCTTATTGTTTGAGTGGCCCGAACACCGCCGCACACGCAGTCCAGAAGACACTTCCATCGCGCAGCAGCTGCTGCGGGCCGCACTGCCGCGACCCCGTGCACAGAGATCCACCAAAGCATGAACGCGTACATGTTTGAAATCTTCGGAGGGCGCACACCAATGCACGAAGGCGGACGGGCTTGACAGATATCAACGGACACCTGCCAAGGCAGGAGAGCGCACGCGTCTGACATGTATCAGAGACGCCCACCAACGCTCGAATGCGAACGTGGTTGAGATCTGTGAAGGGGCACCCACAACTGAAGGAAGGTGAACGCGTTTGTACATATATATATATACTTATATATATAGAGAGAGAGAGAGAGAGAGAGAGAGAGAGAGAGAGAGAAAGAGAGAGAGAGAGAGATCAGAGAAGCCCACCACAGCAGGCAGGCGAACTTGCCTGAAACATCAAACGACGCCCACCAGTGCAGGACGCGACGAGCCAGACTCCTGGCGGCAGGCTGCGGCACGGGCCCTCGGCGCGAGCATGCCCCAAGCAAAGATCGGACGCGCTGGCGCCCGCCACGCTCGGCCACAGCCCATGCGGCTACTCCGAGGGGGAGGACGAGGCCGAGGAGGCCGAGGAGGAGGAGGAGGAGGAGGAGGAGGAGGAGGAGGAGGGAGGAGGAGGAGGAGGAGGGAGGAGGAGGAGGAGGAGGAGGAGGAGGAGGAGGAGGGAGGAGGAGGGAGGAGGACGCCCAGTCGTCCAGGACAGCTCCGGGCGGCGAGTGCACCTCGAAGGCGGGGCCGGGGCCGAGGCCCAGCACCATCCACTGGAAGCGACCTCCCAACACACAGGCTCTCGACCCCGCCGAAGTCTCCGCGAGGGTGCTCTGGACCACGGCGACCTGGCTACACCGCGCTGAGTACCCCCGCAGGCTGCTCGTGAGGAAGACCCGGCGCAAACAGGGGGCACGGGCAAGCACGGAGATTTGCCAGTAGCCTCATTCCTGCATGCTCGTCACCATGATCAAACATCATCACATCTACAATGCCACCCTGGGCCCCACTCGGTGGATCAGAACCTTCAGGAGGACCACAATCAAGTTCCTGAAGAAAGATGTCAACACCCGCACCAGGCGCCGTGGGGACCGCCTCGTGAAGCATATCATCAACCCTATGTACGAAGGCCTCCGCGTCCGTATCGAAGGGGAGATGAGGCACCGCGGGAAGATCACGAAGGGTGTCGATCCCAGGATTTGCATCAGCACGAGGCTCAACGCCACCATCTGTCTGATGTTGTCTACGAGGGGCTTTACGAGGTGGCGGCTCCAAGGCCCAAGCGGCAGACGACCGTAGATCACCGCCAGGCCGAAGCCATGGGTCCTCTGGCAGATCCTTATCCTTCACGCGGACGTCGTCGACAGGAGCGATCGTCTCCATCATGAGGCTCGTCGTGATCAGGTCCAGGCTTGTCACCGTCATCACCATCGTCCCCATGAGGTACGCTATGAGCAACAGGCGCACGACGTAAGACCAGAGAAATATGAGCCTCACCAAGGCTCTTTGTGTGGCCGTGGCCGACGGGGATGTTAGCATGCAGCCTGTGCGCTACAGCAGCGATCACGTAGATGAGGATGTGGTTTACCATGCTAGGGTGGGCAGCTAGCTGGCAGAAGCACCACATGAACCAGAAGACGATCACGGTGCGACGAAGATCGAACACGTCCCTGCCGAACCCTCGCGCAGCTGCCCGAGGATCCAGTTCAACCGCGCGGCAACCACCATGCGCACGCGCCGACGGAGCTGCAAGTGCAGCAGTGAGGCCCTTGTCCCAGGCACGCGCCTGAACCAGAATGGCTAGGAAGAGAATGAAGGAGGACGAGGACGAGGACGAGGACGAGGAGGAGGAGAAGGAGGAGGGGGAGGAATAGGAGGAGGAGGAGGAGGAGAAGGAGGAGGAGGAGGAAGAGGAAGATGAGGAAGGCGTGTGCCCGCATGCTGGGATGCCTGGCCGCCCGCGGGCTCATGTGCCCGAGTGCTCGGGAGCACAGGGTGCCGAGGTGACGGACCTTGGGGCGCCCAGGTGGCCCCAGGAGCCCGCGGTACGTGGTTCCCCGAATGCCTGCAGCCCACGGGTGCCCGCGTGCCCGGGTGCCCCGTTGCCCGCCAGGGCGCCCGAACGCAATGATAGTCTGATTTGGGGCGGAGGGGGCGGACTGGAAGAGAAGGCGTACGAGCCATAGTGGGTGAGTGTGGGGGGGGAGGCGAATATGATGGATGGGGAAGGAAGAGGAGGGAGAAGTTGATGATGATGGTGGTGATGCTGATGATGGTGATGATGATGGTGATGATGGTAATGATGATGGTGAAGACGGTGGTGATGATGGTAGTAAGAATGGTGATTGGTGGTGGTGGTGACGTGGTTCTCTTTCCGGTGCTTTCGGTGTGACCGCCTTGCCTGAAAACAGAGGCAGGCAGCCACAATATCAGACACGTGCATCAGCCAAAACTAGAGAACCGAGGCGAGAGAGGAATGGGAGAAGGCTGACTTGAACCGCGGTGTGGCGGCACCTTTCGTTGCAACGACCAGAGCACTCAACAAGCAGTTGCGAATCTGATAGGTCGCTTTCCCTTCCAGTGCCAGAACAGGGCTCTTTCGCTGTGAGCGGCCGAAAGAAAGCGCCTCGCCCGAAGATAGAGGCGCGCAGCTACGAACATGACACATGCATCAAATAAATCAGAGAGGACCATAACTCGTAGAATATCTGCGAACCATGGCCACCAGGCCGACAAGCAAATTCGGCAATTTTGGGATCCTGGTAATTCGAAGAAGCACTTCGGATCCAGTCGGCACCCTACGCCGCGCAACGACTGTGGAAGGACCTCCCAGAACGGGTAAGTCGCGGACCAGGCCCCTCGGCTTTGGACGCCCGAAATGGGTACGGAAACAATGGGTACGATGCCCAACAACAATTGTTGTCCCAACCCAACAGCGGCCGCTGTTGGGCAGGCGGCCTTCTGTCTCGAATGGACACAGGCCGCGGCGGCGCGGACAGCGAGTCCTGTTCAAAATGAACAGGAACTGCTGTTGGGCATCGTACCCATTCTTTCCGTACCCATTTCGGGCGTCCAAAGGTCCAAAGCGGCAGGCAGGACACGAGTGGGATCCGCACTGGAAAAAGTGGCAGTCGGCCGAGTGCGACTGGCGGGGAGCGTGCTGACGGAGGCCCGATCCTTTCGGCTGGCCCTCCGCTGCACGGGACCTCCGGCCTCTCGCACTCTCGAGGACCACCGCGGCGAGGGCGCCACGGGCACCCCCGAGAGACCTCGGAGAGCGGGGCCCGGGCGAGGGCGCAGGGGCGGCCCCCGACGCCGGGGACACGCGAGCCCCGAAGCCACCCGACGGCCCTCCGGCGCACAGCGGGCGAGGGGGAAGGGGGGGGGAAGAAGGGAACTGGCGGCTTCGAGCGGAAGCTCGGCCATCTTCTTGGGCTGGCGGGCGTTATTTGTCGGTGATCGCACGCACGCCGCGCTCGCACTTCGTGCGTGGCGAGCGTCCCCGTTGACTGGCAGCATGTGGTCCCCAGCAACTGCATCCTCCGGCGCACAGCGGGCGATCCTAGTCGAACGCCCGATGCATGTCAGGATCAACACCAATCGTAGCACCACCCTCCTCAGCGCGCCCGTCTGTGCACGATGGGCAACGGAACTGAATCTGGGCTTGCCAGAACGGAGCGAGGCACCGCTCGAGGTGTGGGTACGGCGGCAGCGAGGTTACGCCGCAGAAGGCCGCCGACCTGCCCGTCAGAGATGGGTTCACACGGCCACGAACGGGCGCGGCCTCCTGCTAGAGAACTAGCCGCGGCAGCGGCTGCCCCAGCGCGCCCCCCACGAACCACCGCTCACCTTTGCCGCGAGAGCCATACTTTGAAGACGGCCTCGACCCCTATCCTTGTAATCGTTGCGAGCCTTCGCAGCGCCCGTGCGCGGCGCTACGGCGAGAGCCCCGTGTGGAGCGCGACGGGGAGGAGCTGCCCATGAGAAAAGAAGGACGTTGACGATTGAGTCGGATACCATGGGGGCCACACGGCGCC